ATTGAGTTTCTTCCGTCAACACAACGAAAAACAATGAAAAAAGCTTCTATTTCTTCAGTTTTGTTTTGTTTTTGTTTCTGCTGAAGGGGGGTTTTAGCCCCCCTTTGTCCCCCCCCCCCTCCTCCGCCCCATGGATTTGCCTTTGTTTTTATATTTGGAACTTGTGAAAGAGTTCAAATTTATGCTTTATCTATTCATTTCATATAGTTGTATATTTCTTGTTTTGAGAAAAAACAATGAACAAGCCAGCCAGGTAATGAAAAAATAAAATAATATTACGCGTCATTATTTATGAATGCATACAAACCGACTTGTAGCTTCAGAACCAAATTTGTCACCATCATGCATCACAACTGGGCACAAACTATGTGCACAAATTGACGTCCCTAATCTGGCTATAAATTTTCATAAAGGTTACAATTTTTCGTTGTGACAAAATTACAGATTATCTGGCATCATATCAGTATGGAATGTTGCAGTAGTGAATGTGGCTACATACTGCTAAGAAATAAGTATTATAGTAGTATTGACTGAAGTATTTTGAGGCCGAACTAATGAAACGTTATATATAAGTGTGAAGTGTATGTATAAAAGATATTATACGGAAACAAGAAATTGTCCTTTTTTGTATGCTTTCTTCGAATTACGATCGCAAAGTGTCTACGAACAGTTTTGATTGGTTTCAAAATCATTATATTATTCATTTTATACTTTGAGGAAATAAGTTGATTTAAGGGGAAGGTAAATGAAAATAAGTCTTTTTAGGAAATTATTGTTTTGTTTGTGTTTGCTTTTACTTAAATATACATGTAAGTTCTTATTTGCGTCTTGAAGAAACTAAGTATGTGTATGGTAAGCCACTCCAAATGATAGCAATAGTAACTATTCGCAGTACAGCCAAAACAAGAACAAAAATGTTTCGAAAGTCGGAGATTGGACGGACAAATAGGGTACTGAGGTTGAGACGGAATAATTTTGCTCGAAAATTTTTCGTGGTCAATCAAGATATGATATCGATTTTTGAAATTTTAAAATCTAATTTAGGATTTTTACTGTAGTGATCATCCATCACTCTACATTCGTAATAGTCTAGTAGATAGCAGTCGGTATGGGAAAATATAGAATGTAAAATAATGAGCATCTTTGAAGTAATTTTGCCGGACATTGTAGTTATCAAAGTACTCTCTTGAGATGTTAGAAATCGATCCGTACTATCAAGAAATCGTAATGGGCGGGAGCCCTTTTCATTCAACATGCTGTCAGTTCCAAAAAAAGAAAAAAAAAGAATATTTCAGAGATATGATTCTTGTCGGGCCATTTGTCTACATTCTTGATGAATAATTAATGCACAGGTTCGTTGGTTTCATGCTTTACTTGGATGTTGCAATGTCTTAAATCATGCTTCAAGTCATGCACTTTTTCATTAGATTTGGAATATTCCCGTTTAAAGATTTTACATGTGATAACGCAAGTAATAAAATAAACTAAACATGTAAAGAAGTGAAATTGCTTTTTGGCGTAGGTTGGACAATTTAAGAGCTCAGGATTTTGCAAAACTTAAAATAAAAACAGATAACTCTTTGCTATCCTGCACTAGTTCTTCAACTCGTATTGTATGAAGATAAATCTCTTTAATTTTCACCTGATGTTTTCAAAATGGTCTTCAAAAAGAGCGAACGCTTTAACAAAAAAGGAAGTTACCTGAAGGGGACACTAATAAAGTGATCTAAATGCTGAGTAGTTAAGATGTTACTGGAAAACAAAGTGCTGAACGATTACATGTTTTTACATAAAAAAGCTCGAGCATCATGCTGCAGGCATTAAAATACTTAACGTGATCACCATATTGAAGATTGTTTATTCAAATTAAATCCTTGTTGTTTTCCTACAAACTTTTTCAAATAATTCCGTAAGTGTCTACTTCATTGTTACCAGATTTCAAGTTTTCGCCTGTTTAATGCAACTTTTAGAATACTCCAAGAAAATTCACAACTCGAAGTGTAAACATTATTGCATCGCTTTAACAACTTACATATATAACGTGAATTAAAAAGAAAACTGATGAACAAATAGGTGTGTACTTCAGGCATAGGCAGTGCATCCGGTAAGAATACTCAGCTTCGTCATTAAGAGAGCAATTTATCTTAAAATTGCTATTCTTAATGATTTGTTTCGATCTTCTAGAACTGTTTCCCTCTTACAGCAAAGTGGTTATAGCCTCCAGGAGGTTGGTTGAATATCCGCCCTCTTGCATAACCGAAGGCAAACAATACCAAGACTATTCAAACTGGTATAAAGAAAGTTGATTATAAGCTCATTGACTAGCGGCAAAGCAAGTGCTAAAATCCTAATTGAGTTTGTTGTTAATTTACATGTGTCACGATAAATGAAATACGGCAAAAATGATCAGGCAGATGTCTAAGGAAATTAACATTGATTTAATCAAAACTAGCCTTATCAAAAAGCGATTCTTTTATGGTTATCGTTCAACTTATATCTTTCATGGCGCGTTTAATTCATATTATTCATATATTGAAAATTCATCACAATGACTAGACTGGT